CGAACCTCTAGCACAAGTGGAGGGATCCTGACTGTGTCTATTGACAACCCAGGAGCAATCATAAGCCCAATGTGAGTTTTCAAATAAGTTCCGAAATGTTCTGAACATAAAGGAAATTGCTGCTTTGAATGATTTAGTACATTCCTTGCAAGTCGTGTTTCAGGTGACCTCACAGTCACAGCTTCTTGTGAAAGCTTCTAAGTCTGGCCCCTTTCTGAGTATTTCTGAGCAGTGATCGAATATCACAGCTGGATCTTACATGTCACCTCCCAGTTAGGAGTTTGATGCGTATAGAGTGGAAGAGTGGTGGGCTGGTAGATTTTCACCTTGTCTGTCCCTTCCAAATCAGGCCATTTCACAGCTGTTTTCTGCCTCTGAGTGAAATGAATGAGCACCTACTTGATGAATGATGGTAACAGTTCCTCCCTGGTTCATAAAAATACTGCTGGACTTGTGCTTAAAGAGAGTGTTGTGTTTGGGAAGTTGATGGTACTGTTGTTTAGAGGTGATATATTTTAAAAATGTCTTGAGTAGCATTTCCTTGGTAGCATTTTATCAGTAAGGAATACTTACCAATTTTTATTTTTTGTATTTATAGGATTAATTAACCACAAATTACACATTTGTCAGTAGAATTGCAGATAAAAAGTAAGATGGTTTCCTGCTGGGATCTTCCTGTCTGATAACAATAACAAATAGTCCCTTTTTTAGTTCAGCCTGACTTACCTTGTTGAATTTGTGCCCTCCAGCTCTTTAGCCAGCCTCATCAAATAGTTTGATGAAAAATTCATACCTCTGAGAGCCTTAAGTCTTTCTTGCATAGAACACATGTTCATCATGTCCTTTGTAACATTCTTCTTTTACAGTTCCCAGAAATTACGATTAACTCGTAGTCCTGTTCCACCGTTTCTGATGAAGAGGGACCAATCTGAAGAGAAGAAGATTCCAAAAGGGGTTCCATTGCAGTTTGATATAAATAGTGTTGGAAAACAGGTAAATGCAATTTTCCTCTCATAACTGTCGAAGTAGTTTCATGACCAGTAAAAGCCAGTGAGGCACTTTCCTCCTAGACTCACAAGTGACAGAAAGAGAGAACTTTTGACTACTTTTTGTTTCCACTTCCAGTCTTTCCGCTAACTCACTGTGTAACTTCAAGCAAGTAGCTAAACTCACTGTTCCTGTTCTTCTAGTACATGCCTTGCATGCCCACATGATTTAAATGGGATTTAAAATGTTGAATATTTCTAAAAGGCTTCTGGTGTTCCTGCTGTACTTGCATCAGCAACTGTGAATAATTCAGGGATGAGCTGCTTTCAGCTGTGTGGCCTATTTGGAACCCTGTCAGCCAAATTTATAAGGCAACTTTAGCTCTCCATCTAGGAAAAAAAATAATAATGTGATCATGTAAAGGCTTGAAAGGTGGGCAATTTTTCACAAGTTTCATGAAGACAGGTGATTTGGTACAGCAGTCCTAATGCTGTCATTGAAGGAATTCTTACAGTGTGACAGAGTTGGCTGCTGTTCTTGTAATCAGCTCCTTAGTGCCAGCTGTAGCAAACTGCATGGAAGTCAAGGCATTGATCTGTATTTGTTCCACCCAGGAATAAGAACTGTTTCAAAAATACTCTACTATAGTATAAAATTTATCAAGCTTCTTGATTAGACTCCAGCCTGCTCCCTTAGTTGAGTAAACTGGAAAGCAACCTGCATTAAAATGGTGAACATGTTGCATTTGTTAAAGTTGCATAGAATCTGTGTGGGGAAATGTGTACTGAAATTTCCATTTTTCTGTCTGTCCTCAGTTGAACTTAAAATATTTTGAGTAGGTTTTGAGTATTGACACCTTGTGCTCTTAATGAATTCTGAAAATGCAAGCTCTTGATGTGTCCAATCTGATTTTTAAATGGTGTGGGAAGTGACAAAAAATCCAAAGGAAATTAAAGAGTCAAGTGATGATACAGACAGAAGAAAAAAGTATTCTGTCTCCATCACTTTGATTAAGTTAACCCAACACCTTTAAAGTTTTGGTTAAATTACTTTATTTTTCAGACAGGGATGACATTGAATGAACGATTTGGGATCCTGAAGGAGCAGAGGACAGCACTGTCTCAGAACAAAGGAAGCCGTTTTGTAACAGTGGGCTAACCTGACAGATGGACTTGGGCATTGAACCCACCTACCTAAAACCCTGAGATAAAAGTGGGCAGAAGAATACAGCATATGTCACAAGAATTCTCCAGACATCTTGTTAAGATGGTGGCAGAGCCATCTCTATTACTTTTACTTGGAATGGTAAAAGACTTGATACCCTGAGGGAGAAAAAGTGGAGAGAAACTGATCCAACACAGTGGCACCATCACCTGGTTGGAAAAGATTCTGTAGCCCAGCTGAGTTCTTTGACCCCTCTGTTATGGTAAAGATTGTTTAAGTGTTTAATTACAAACCCCATTTTAGGGTTTTTTAGGGACTGCCTTTGAGCTCTCTTTCAGACTCCAGTTTAGCACAGAGCCTCAGTCCATGGATACTTTGGTAGCGATGTAGCGGTATTTTTCATGGGAGCATTGGTTCTGTACTTCTTTGTGCTTTTAAAGTTCCATATTTTTCCTTTCTTGAAAACTGTTTTGCATCCTCACATTCACAAATAAAGCTGTTAGCTGAGACCCAAAACTTGTAACTGGGATGGAGACTATTCTACTCTTATCCTTAAAAGTGGTCCAGATCATATACCATATTGGAGGAATACTGCAGAGGCAGTGTGAGAGTCCTCTATATTCCAAATAGCTCAACTGCATCATCCTTCTCTGTCTCCTTTCCTTCTTGACCTTTTGATTTTTATTTCTTTTTGAAAGTTTTTTTACAAACTTAATGCAATAACTTCATGAATAATTCAATAGGAAAAAATAATAGCAATTCACAAGGAAGTCATCAGTATGGTAGAGTTTCTTACCCTCCCAGATACAGGATTCTCATTCTGCATACTTTGCCCCAGAGGGTTTTCTCTAACTCTTAAAAGTAGCTGGAGGCAAGCAATCTCATGGCACTTGTTTGTTTGTACCAAAGAGAGGTAAGATGTGAAACTGATCCGAAGTGGTAAGACATCTAGAAATTGAAACTGAGGGATGTTGCTGGAGAAAAGCCCTCATTTTGCCAGCACATGTAAGGTGTTAGCAGGAACATGTAGCCACCTGCTTTAAGCATAGCTCCGTGCATCAGAATCTGCAGGACAGTAACAACTCATCCTCAATATATATTTATATAATCCCTAAAACTGAGGCACCTCTTCAGAATTACTTTGAGACCAGGCACTGATGATCTTGACACTGCTCTTTGGTGAGGAGGGTTAGGTACAGTCAGGTAGAAGAGTGGCTGGCTTGCTGCATCCGGGAATGTTTATGGTGTTTGAAGCAGGTTTAACTCATTTTCACATTCTTGAAGAATTTACATTTGAACAGAGTTGGTTTTCTTGCATTTTTATCTCATATTCCAGGTTAACTTGCATATACTGGCAACTTCAACCTTGAAGAGCACTTGACAGCAGAAGGGCTTTTCAATTTTTTTGTATAGTTTTGAAGTCAAAATGCACTCTGATGCTAAATAGGACTTAAACCCATATTTTCAATGTTGAAAAATATACCTTAGCAGAAGTAAACTAAATGTAATGGTGTTAAGGTTTCTTTCTTAATGACTATTAGGAATTTTTTTTTTTTAATGAATGTCCCACTGTTAAAATTTAAGTAAAGTGTAGTCAGTCATCCTGTTTCAGTGTATACGTTTTCCATGTGCCAGGATGCAACAAAAAAATTCTTTTGCATCAGCCTAGATGCAAAACATTGATGCAGTGCATCAAAAATGCTAATTTGTATTTAATGAGAAGATGCTTTACACTGTACCTTTTGGTATTTTTTGGAGAAGTTATTACATTTGATCTATTCTGAAGCTGTTAATTTTTTTTTAATAAAAAGTTACAGGTTTCATATTGTCTTGTTCCTGTTATAACCACCTGGGCAATATACTGGTTATGTGAATTTTCTGATAGCCTGCAAGGGGTTCTTACCGATCAAATTCTTAGTAAATATTCTGAAAAACACAGCAGAAAGCAACCTAACTTAAAAGGGGACTCTGACTCCTTGCTCAGCTGTATACACTGACAAGGGAGCACTTCTTGGACTGTCACTGTAGAGGCTCACTTGTATTTAAATGTGTCAGCTATTAATTAATATTTCAGTAGCACTGCCTAATTCAGTGGTTTGGTGTGGTGAGAGTACCAGATGTGTCAGACTAAGCACCGATTGTTGCTGGGACATGTCTTGATGACGAGAATCGCCGTCATCAACGCCTTGTGGAAATGCTGTGCCAGCAGGAGGCACAAAGCAGTGGAAATGCTGCTATTAATTGTCAGTGCAGGACAAAATACTGCCTGTAAATATATTTGATAATGCGTTAAATATTGTTATTGTCTTGTTACTTGATTATTGCATTGCCTTTGTTCTTCATTATCAGCTCAGGTGTGTTGGCTGCAGCATCAGGTGGGTTCAGTGGAAGCAGCTGGGCAAGATGGCATTTATTAAGATGTCGCAAAGGGTGTGGCCTTTCAATGTCATCAATCCTTTAGTTAAAAAACGTGAAGCAGTTGTTACATTTCCTACGTAGTGGAGATCTGCGCGCTCTATCCTTGTTTTGCTGCTGGAACGGACCCGACACCCAGCAGCTGTGAGCGATGCTCACCCACAAACCAACCTTGTGACATGGCACGTTGGCGGGAAAAGTATAATTTTTAGCAGTTTCAGCAGGTGCCCAGGTGTGTCCGGGGGCCCCTGGCACCCCGGCTGGCCCGAGGCGGGCGGCAGGACGCGGCCCGAGGCGAGGCCGGCTCCGCTGGGCTCAGGCGGACGCGCTGCCCGCGCGGTCCCGGGGCCGCCGGGCGGCGGCTGCGCATGCGCCCCTGCCGCGCGCTCTGGCATGCGCTGTCCGGCCGGGCTGTGGCGGGGAAATGGCGGCGCCGGAGGGTGGCTCTGCCGCGATGCCCGCGGCTTGTCCCGCTCCGCCCGGTCCCTCGGCTCCCGGCTCCTGGAGCCGCTCTTTGGACCGAGCCCTAGAAGAAGCGGCGGTCAGCGGGACCCTCAGTTTGAGCGGCAGGAAGCTCCGGGACTATCCGCGGGCCAGCGCCGCCAACCACGATCTGAGCGACACCACCCAGGCTGGTGAGGGACAGGGCGTGAGGGGGACGAGGCAGCGGGGAAGGGGAGCAGGGGCTCTCCGAGAGGGTCTGGGGGTCCAGCTGGACTGGGCTACCCACCCAGCCCCCCGCTCAGGACTGAGTCTGAGGTGACCGATTTGCTGTCTCTTCGTTAAATTCAAGCTGGTTTCGCCTCCTTCCTTCGCTCTCCGCCCTTCCTCTCCTCGGCTGAGGCAGGATGGAGGAGCTGTGGCAGGGTTCTTCCTCTGCCCGTCTGATGAGATCTCTCCCATTTCTAGGTTGTTTTTTTTTCTTTATCATCTCTGCTGCAAAATGTTCCTCTTATGGGGAACTGTTTTAAAAAGCGTTGTGAGGTTTTTCTCAATATTGCTGCTTACTGCTGTGGTTTAAGCCAGTCTTGTTCTTGCTCTGATACATCTATACGTCAAGGTATATACACACATATATGTGCACCCTTACAATCTCTAATCTTGTCCTGCTGACACGGGAAACCAGCTTTCCAAGAAGGGCTGTCAGGTGTGTATGTGCCAAAGAAACTATTTATTGTAAGCTCTATAAGCTCTTATGCTTCTATTACTGTAATTTCAAACAGCCATAAGAAGGTATGAAAGATACTGTGAATATAATCACAGCCCTTTAATTTTTTTCTCCTGTATAACATGGATTTAAGGATATTAAAGATAATTAATTACTTTATAAGGTATAGTAAGCAATAGGGCTTTTGTCCTCTCTGTTCCTTAAAAGTATTCATACAAATAGACTAAAAAAAGTATACTTTGAGTGTAAGTACTTTGATAAGAAGTGAAAACGTATTTGTTTTTGCATATTACTGTACTAAATAGAGAGGTAAGACTTGGAAAATGAGAGTTTGTGCAGGATGTAGAAATCTTCTTAATACATGATATAGATCAGATTTAGTTTATTTTGATTGTGCAGTTGTATAAGTGAAGTCAAAGTAACTCTAAAAGGTGTCAGCATGCCATGTGTTTGTAGCTTTGAAATCTTGTCATTTAGACTTTTTAGTATTGAGTTGTAGCTTGAAAGCTTAGAAATAAGCTTCCATTATCACTTTTTTTTTATGTTACCATGTTTACTAGTAAGTGTGTTGGTTACACTGTAAGTTAAGTAATTCAAAATGGAACCTTCTTTGAAATTGTCTTGACTTCATATTCTGTCCTGTAGCATCCTATTTATGCAAAAATCTGTTACTAACAAAAGAAGCACTCATGGAAACTCAAGCAAACCTTGAGACAACAGTGGTTTACTTGTCTCAAACATATCTCTACATAGAAAACATTTCTTGTTGGGTTATAAATTTTTGGGGTGTTTTTTGTTTTGTTTGTGAACGAGTGCAGTTGCGCAATGAATGTGTAGGGGACTAATCTGTAAGCAAATGCAGCATACACATTTGTGAGGAGTTTGGGCTTTTTGTTTATAACACTATTCATTTACTGTACTCTTAAACAATTTGTGGGAATTCTTGTTCCCACCAAGGTTCCCATCTATTGTGAAGAATATTTGCATTGTAGTTGTTCAAGAAGCATTAAATGCTAATAAGCAGCAGTGCATGGCATACACTTTTGTGCATTTATCATCACAATGAACCTTGGAAAAAAGCTAGAACTGTTCTTAAGTTGTAAAAAGCAAAGCTTATTGAGTGTGTGTGAGGACACACATTATGTTCAATTTCTCTGTTTTGAAGGCTGCTGTGAATAACTTCATTTTGTGCTTTTTTTTTTTTTTTAGCATGGTCTGTTCTGTGGCATTTTTTGTTTTAAATAACGCTTGGCAGAGTTTTGTTCATGGGAGGCTTACAATTCTTTTGTATGGGACTGGCCACAAATAATATGATACAATGCATTTGTGTATTAGATGTTATAAACACTTAAAGTAAACACTTTAAACAACAGCCCACACTGTAGACTCCCAAGAGCCTTCATACATGCTGTGCCACAGACTCCAAGCACATGAGGTGCTGCGTGTCTGTGTTTCGTAAAAATGTCTGGAATTGCTCCCAAATTACAGATTCAGTTACAAAACTGGCGATGAAACAACGATGTACAGTCCTTCCTCCTTGTGTGCCTTAATAGACACCTCTCTAGTGTGAATGATATACTGATACAGCTCAATCCTATTCTTGTAGCAATAAAGGTAACTGCATGTCAGTGTAACCACATTGATGCTTACGAGGTGGGAATGAATCACATCCCTCATTAACGTAACTATCCTTCTGGAAAACCAGGATTTCACACTGCCTGAAGCCCCAACAGAGCCACTGGCTTTGCCTGGAAGCTGCTCTCAATGCAGGTGAACCAGCAAAGTGGGTCAGTAGGAACAGGGTGTTAGAGATCCAGAGGTTTGATCAAGTTTAGTTGGATGCTCTATGTGGATTTTGAGGTTGATGGTGGGTGATGTCAGCCATAAGGTGCATTTTCAGATGTTAAATCAATGGGAAGATCACGTTTCTTTGTACCTTGTATGGGTTCAGATTTGACTAATACTAACCCTGGTGCTCAGGCCGTAAGAGCTCCTAGGTACCTTTGTTAACCACTCACTAAACAGTCACCAGAGCAGCAAAACCAGGTCAGGTTTGCTGCACTTGATTTATGAACTCAATACGGTATTTCTTTTAGGTGGAAAAATTAAGTTCCTCATTAATAATTTTCTATAGTCCCTAAACTTTTCACTGGAAAGTAGATTCTCTAGTCATGTCAGAGCCTTGGCTGTTTCTGGGCACTATCTTCCAGATGATGAAAACCCACATGTGACTTTTAAAACCTAGATCAATGCTCAAGGTTGCTCTCGGAATGGACCATATAACTTCAACAGGTAGTAAAAGCAGTAGTGAGTTTCTAGTTGTTTTGTACTTCAACTGGAATTAAGATCACAGATAAAATCAAATTGAAGATGGAATGGTCTGTGCTGGAAAGCTTTGGCATGGTTTAGCAGGAAGGTAAGTCCCTACAGTGTGTGATGCCAATAATCCTTGTGGCAATAATAAATCTAATGTTCTCATATGTGGGGGATGTGCAAGAAATTCAGTGTAGTAATAATTTAAGATACTGAAAGAGTATCTCATTACTTTATATTCCTCCCTTACAGCATAATTGAACTTTTAGGAAGTGACTCAGGTTTACGAAGCTCATTGATGATGAAGAATGAGCAAGCTCCTTCATTATCAAATGGAAGACATGCTTTCATACTTTTTCTTTCAATTTTCTTTCATGCTTTCATTTAACATTCATTATCTCTCCTCATTTTATCTAACTTATAACCCACTTGTTCATTCCACTCATGTTCTTGACCATGGGATAGGAAAAGGAAGGGCTATAAACCACCTGAGTGAAACGTGAAAGGAAGCACAGTTGCATTTTGCCAGCATTAATGTAGGTTCTGATGTCATTATTTGACAGCTTTCCCAGTGGCCTAAAGCATACATTGAGCAGAAAAGTTATTTGTCAAACCATCCATGACAGCTGTAATTACTTAAACCACTCACTGTCTCCATTTTTAAAGGAGAAGATGGGAATATGTGGGTTTATGCAATAAAAGAAATGTCCGTTGTATGGAAATTGAGTAAGATAATTACATGCAGCTCACTATGTCTTGTTTCTGGAATATATTAGTAGTAAAAAAGAATAGAAAGACTCTGAACAGGAAGAATAAAATGGTCTGCTGTGCCTTTTCAATGGCTGTGCCAGTAAGGCATCTCTGTAGTTTTGTTTTTACTAGGTCTCCGTAGAAATGGTAAAATCTGACCATAGTGTCAGTAAAATTTCTATATGCCAAGTGCTTGCATGCATCTAGAAGGACTGCAGTGAGTATGTGAGTATTCTGCAGTAAAGGGTCTCCCTGGTGTTTTTCATTCCTGCTAGAAGTTCAGTTGATACTGCCTAATGAAATGTGAAATGGCTTGAGAAGCACAGCATGGCTGAGATAGCAGTGGCCCTGTTACCCAAACATCTGTTCTTAAAGCCATAACAGCACGGTCAAAACCAGCCTAAAAGTATTTTTTATTTTTTTTTAATCTCTTTGGGTTTACTGTATTTTGAATGTAAACTTATAGTGATCTTTAAGGTAACTTGGAAGGAATTGGTATTATTGTTTGTTCAAACCTCAGACTATCTGTCAGCAGAGTTTACAGTTTTGATACTTAGATTATCTAAAGTTTCAATATTAAAACCCAAAACCTAATATGTCAGTAGGGTTGTTCAGAGTCTTATGATTGCATTTGTGTCCTTGTCTCTACCCTTACCAAAACCCAAAGAGAAATGCCCTGTCTATAGGTACTAGTAGCTGTAGGAGTGAGAAGGGGAGAGGATCACAACCATTCTCCTGACTTTGGACAGTAATCTAGCTTGTTCCATTCAGCTGCGTTTTTTTGGTCCTAGCTCCTACTTGTGTCAGTCCTTGTTTAATTTGATTATTGCTCCCTTTTTCTTTGTTCTTGTTGTGTTTCTGTTTTTGGGAAGTCTTGATCTCGTGTGGTCTGTGTATAAATACTGGCAAATCTTGGTCTAATTGAGTTGTCTGAGAGTGGTGCTTTGGTAAATTGCTAAATTGAGGTCAGGTCAGTTCTCTGGCTTTTTTTTTTTTCTTTTTTTTTTTTTTTTTTACCCTGAAAACATGGAGAGCAGTAGACTGTGGTAGTTTATGGTTCATTTTTGTTGGATGTTTTGGGTTTGGATGGAGACCTGAGGACTGCAGTAATGCTCAACTGTTCTTGGCACACAGCAAGTCTTTTTGCCTAATGTTTTATGGCAACTGGAAAATGCAATCTGAGCCTGTAGTTTCTAATCCTTGTGGTAATAAAAGCAATACATTACATTCAGAATGCCTTTGTTTAGTGAGTTTATCTTTTAAAACAAACAATGAAGTCCCACCAATCAAATTTTACTACCAGTGAGCTCTTGTAAGTAGTGTTCAGTGCTGTTGCATGTGTTTCTAGTTACTTCCCTAGTCTTCACTTCCTTGGCTCCATCATTATCAGATTTAATTTTTTTT